ATATACCAAGTGTGGTGGGTTCAAACCTGACCCTGGCCAAACTGCAACAAAAAATAGCTGGGCATTGTGGCGGGTGCCTGTAGTTCCAGCTACTTGGGAGGCTGAGGTAAGAGAATCGCCCAAGACCAAAAGCTGGAGGTTGCTGTGAGCTGCGACACTACAGCACTCTACAGTGGGAGATAAAGTGAGACTCTATGTCTACAAAAAAAATTTATTTTTTCTTAAGATTGCATGAACTGTACCAGCAATAATGGTATTCTTTCCTAAGAGATTCATTCTTTTTAGTTCTACCATTTCTTGAGATTTTGGCCTAAGTCTAGTAAAATAGACACAAAATAGTGCCCATTCATGTTGTGGCTAGCACATAATAAGCACTTAATAAATTCTACTTACGGTATTACTGTCACTTTTCCTAATTTTAATTGTTGCATGGACAGCAGTGGGAGTATCTATGATATGAAAGTAAAACTGTTAAAATGGTGGTGCAATAGGGCAGCATCTGTGGCTCAAAGGAGTCATAGATGCTGTGAGGTGGTGGGTTCAAACCCAGCCCTGGCCAAAATAAAAAAAAAACTACAAAAAAAAATAGTAGTGCAATATGGTTTTAGAGAGGGCCTGAGTTAGCATTTACGCAGATAACACCTTCAAAGAAGAGCACAATACTTCTCATCCCACATGCTCTCTTTATAATGTGACTTTGGGTCTATCACCATAACACGGTAAGGCTCTAACTGCCCTTAAACCTGAATGGGTATCTGTAACATTCAACTAGTAAAATACAGTGAAGTGATGCTATGTGACATCTGAGGCTAGTTAATAAAACAGTCAAATGTTGCCTGCTTCCAAAGAGAAAAAGATGGATTTAACCACACGAAGAAGTTCACAGAAAAATTAGACTCAGAGAGGCAGCAGTTAGAATTTGAGGCTCGAATACGTGTACCATCTTAACAGGGGAAGAGAGAGGAAGAGCACTTACGGGCAAACAAACGACTTCTGAGAAAGGTAAACGTGACCTTAAAACAGGTGTGAGATATGGTAGTTTGTAGCAATTTCTGCTCAGGTGTGGAGATTTCTAGTCTCCAGTGATAAGTCCATCTTTCCTACCCCTTCCAGGGAGAGATTAAGGACACTTAAGCAATTCTGAGTTCTTTTAGGTGGCTCTGCTTAAGGTAGTTAAGAGATTTCAGAAATTGAAATGCCTTCTGCTCAAAATAATTTTACACAGTCATGTAAACCAGACCCTTTCAAAGCAGACAGTATTTTCCTTTCTTAACTCAGTACACAATGGTCGCCTCTCTCTTTCCCTCAACACTAAGCAAATGAAAGCTCATGCCATACTTGGTTCAGCGAGTACTCCCCAGCACCTTTAAATAAGTAAATGAAGTGGACAGTTCCTGGTGAACATCCAGAATGGTGTGGCCCTATCTGCTTTATTATTCAAGCATTATTAGCTTGCATAAAACACTCAGTGGTCTCGTTAATAAACAGTATGTGGCTTCAAATGAAGACGTGAATCTTCACGTGCTGTTTTACATTACCTAAGTGTTCTGCACCGAATTTGGGTTAGACGTGCTTACGTTATGGTACTGGACAAAAGCGGTAAATAATCACAGTCCTTTAAAGGCAGCTGGGGCACTTTTATACTTCTATATTGTCATCCTTTGAAAGATGTTAGGCTGCTTCTAAGAGGTCTGAGGAACTCATTTCTTTAGAAACTTTCAGGAGATAGCGCATCGATCCTGGGTCCTTTCGTTTCAATCAACTTTTACTATTCAGGGATTCATAGGAAGCATATTCCGGATGCTTTCACTCGGTAAACCAAGAGAAATAAGAAAGGAAAACCCAAAAGTCATTTCCCCACTTGCTAGGCCTAGTTAAGGAAAACTTCCGAACCTTTCGCTCGTCCTCCCTCCGGACGTACAAAGGCAGCCAGCCCAACAGCGCTCCGTCAGACCGGACCCGGCGACTCCGCGAGGCCTCGCGGGCGGCGGCGCGTGACGTCACCGCCGGCGCCCGCCTCTGAGGGCGGACAGCCCCGCCGTCACTGGACGCGCCCACCTTTGATGGCGGACGGCGCTGCCTCTTGCGCCGGGCGCCGGAAGCAAAGCGTATGCGGACGTGCACTCGCTTCCGGGCCCGGACGCCATTTCTAGCGGTTGTGGTTTCTCACGGATTGTATTCCGCTAGGACAATGAGCGATGATCACCATCGGAACTGGGGCCGCGATGGGGATCCCCGCAGCTCCAGTGAGAACTATGAACGGGGCCCTGGAGGGAGTCACGGAGGTAGCCGAGGCTCCGGAGGCGGCGGGGGCGGCGGCGGTCGAGGCGGCAGGGGCCGGCATCCCGGGCATCTGAAAGGCCGCGAAATCGGCTTGTGGTACGCGAAAAAGCAGGGACAGAAGAATAAGGAAGCGGAGAGAAAGGAGGTAATTTGAGATTCCGCAGTGGAAAGGATGAGGCGTGACAGAATTTCTTTTCCTCCCGGCATCTGTTAACTTTCTCCTTGCTTTCGTTTCTTAACGGAGGCACGTGCTTTGTGAAGTATGAATGGGGCGCAGCAGCATCACGCTGAAGCTGCCCGCAGCGCCCTGCGCCGCTTAGCGATAGCCGTGCGCGTCTCTCCCCAAACAGTCAGGATCTGTGCAGGGCTGCGGACCAAACAAGTGCTACATTAGGGTTCCTTCCGAAATTAACTTTACGCGGGCTGTCATTCTGGCCGTCTTTTCTGTTAGGGTAATTATTGCCACTTTTCATTTACGTTCTTTGCTTTAAGTTGAATATAGCTGCCTTCTGCATTAGAGATAAGTTTGCGCGGACCAGAAGCAGACAAACACTATTTTGAAGGTAGCTTAATTCAGAAAAGTAGTCTAGCTTTTATTATTGGTGTTTAAAATAATAAGCCACAAACCTAAGTGTTTTGTTTTATGTTGGGATGGGGTAATTCCTGTTGATCGGCTGGTTCTATTTGAGAAGGAAACTGAGGGTCTTGGAAGTGGAAGGAAAGTTAATAAGAGATAATTTGGCATCGTCTCTTCTCTTCTTGCAGTTGTCAGTTTGATTTGTATCTTAAAGTGGTAGCGTTCTGAGTGGCCCCGTCCCGTAATTCTTAATATTAGACAGAAGCTTCTTAATACAGGCCTTCAAACACCTTTTTGGTGACTTCATTAAAGCACTTTGACATTACAGAGAGTACTTAAATCATCATTTTGACTGCTATTTTTAAACGATTAGACGTTTTGTTCTTTTTCTTTTAACCGTGTTATTGTCATCACAGTGTTAAGGGGCTTTTATCATTTCTCTTTGTAACTTACCACATTCTTTTTAAAAAACAAACTTGTTTTTTTTACAGTCCAAAATTGTTCATTGGGCAAACTGGATTTTGAAAGTCTAGGTAAACATATTTAAGCCTTCTTGAAATTAGAAGAATAATTGAGTCGTAGGTCTAAAAGGATGTAGACAATTAACTTTTTCAACTTTATTCTCGTTTCAAACAAACTTTTATACATGATATTACAGGTATCTGAAGAAGTGTGATATTCAAGGACCTTATAGTCTAGCTGGGAAAATAACATCTTAACAGATGAAAAGTTAAACAAATCAGGAAACATTGTTACGTATCTCCAGAGGAAGGGTGGATAGCCAGTTGTGAAGAGGACATTATGAATGGAATTCTTCCATCCTCACCCACATACCTCCGTTTTCATAAATATCACTGCCCTATTCATTTGCCAAGACCAAGTGGAATTTAACTTTGATTCTTTCCTTTTATTTCAGCAAATCGGTCTGCTCTACCTTGTTAACATATCTCAAATCCAACCACTTATCTCTACAGCAGTTACCATAGATGAAGCTAGGTTTTGTTTACTGTTCATAGCCTCTTAGCTGGTCTTTTGGCTTCTCCTGCTCCTTGTGAAGTTTGTCCTTAGTAGAGCCACCTACCCATGGTGATCTTTCAGAGGGATCATTTCGTTTCTGAACTCAGGTCTTGAGATTGGAAGCCATGTCATTTCTGTGGCATCTAATACATGTAATACATTTCAGTGGCATCTCAACATGTTTTATGGGAATCTTAGCAATCTCGCTTTAACATGTCAGGTTTTCCTCTATCTACAATCTTAGCCCGCGTTTCCAGTGTGATGTGATGCTGGCCTTTGTGAAGATGCTTTATTTTTGCGTTTATTATGGTTCATACCATAATAAATACCAAAATGTACCTCTCCATCTTAAATATGTATATTTTTCATTTGGCTCCTCTGACTCTTCCTTCAGTCTAATATGTTTGCATCCCATTCAGAATTTCTGTAGGTTTACTTTTAAAGTAATCCTTGTATTTACAAATGAATGTGTTCTGATGCTGCGTTCTTACTGTTCTTTTAAACAAATACATATTGAGGGCAGTTTTTGAGACAGTATTTTAGGCATTTTGTTAATAAGATAAATATAGTCCCTACTTTATAAAGATTGTGGTGTGTTGGAGGCTGTAGACACAGTACAATGAAAGTATCATGATAAGGAGACTGTAGGCCAGGGGTCCTCAAACTTTTTGGTCAGGGGACCAGTTTGCTGTCCCTCAGACCGTAGGAGGGCTGGACTGTGGGCCCCGGGACGAGTCTGCTGCTAAGCAGGACAGGCAGCAGCGGCAAAAACACCCGGTGGGCCAGATAAATATCCTAGGTGGGCCGCATATGGCCCATGGGTGATAGTTTGAGGACGCCTGCTTATATAGGCTATCACCTGACTCAGATCAAGGTATTTTTAAAAGATTTTCTAGGAGCAGTAACCTTAAGCTCAAACTTGAAAGATACCATTTGTGTGTGTGTGTGTGTTTGGGATTTGGGGGTTTGGAAAGATCTTTAGGCAAAGGCAGCAGCATATGCCACAACTGGAAGTCAGGCAGAACACATTCAAGAAACTGAAAAGTAAGAACACAGATGTGGGGTGTGGTGAGATGAGACCAGTGGATTTCAAACTTGTTGACCACTCAAAAAGGAATACATTTTAGTTTACAGCCTGGTATACATATATGTATAACAGGCAAAAGTTTTTTTAAATGATACTTAATTACACATTGCTCTTGGTTTTATTGTTTTGAACTTCTTTCTGCACTCTCTTTTTTATTAATACTGATCATGAACCAAATGTAATCTCATAAATGGCAGTTTGGAAAGTTCTGGGTTAGAAAAATAAACAGGACCTTGAGATTCTTTGGCTTTTCCCTAAGAACTGTAGCAAGCTTATAAAGCATTTAAAACAAAGAATGAAGTGACTGAATTTTAAATGTTGAAATTCACTTTAATAGCAGTATAGGGAATGAATTGAAGAGAGACAGTTCTGGGGCAAGGAGATCAGTTAAGTAGCTGTTGTAGTAATTAAGGTGAGAAATAACAGCTTGAATTAGGAAATTCAAGTGGAGATGGAGGGAAGTGGAGAGAGTAAAGTGATTTAGGAGGTAAACTTAATGTGATTTGTAATTTATCTGGAGGGATGGGGACAGCAAGTGTTAGTGGATGACACTTTCATGCCCATATAAGCATCAGGTTTGTTGGAGGACACTATGTGTTTGCTGTTGTCATTGGGCTTACAAATGAGGATTTCCAGAAGGTAGAGGGCTGTGTGGATCTGCCACCTAGAGAAATCTAGACCAAAAGTGAGCATTCATAGGTAGTTCGTAGGCCACTGGATGGTGGTTGGAATGTGGGAATGAACATTGAGAGAAGAGTGGGCCTGTGCCGGAATATATAGACCATTGTTTTCTAACTTGAATGTGCATAGCAGTCACCTGACGCCTTGTTAAAATATAGGACTGTGGTGGGACCCATGGCTTCCAGATGATGCCATTAATGCTGGTCTGTAGAATAATCAGGCTGTAAAATGTACAACATGAAAATTTTAAGGGACAGGCTGAGGAAGAGGAGGTTGCAAAAGGATCTAGGAAGGAGCATCTAAAGAAGAGAAAAATGAAGAGGTGAGTGTTGTTTTGGAATCCAAGAATAGTGTTTAAGGGAGAAAGTGTATATACACTAAGGAAGTAATAGTCAGTAATGGCAAGCATGCACAGACGGCCTGAAGTGAGGACTGAGAATGTCTATTGGATGTATCTACGAGGTCATCAAGGTGACCTTGAGGAGAACCCTTTCTGTGGTATTGTGGAAGTAAACACCAGGTTGTAGTAGGTGGCAAGTGAATCAGGAAAGATGAAGAAGTAGAGCATCTTCTAGCTGTTCTACTGTGAGAAAGAGGAAGAAAAATAGAGCAGTAAGATTAAGACAGGGCTTTTGTTCTTAGTGTTTTAAAGATAAAGAGATTTGACTATATTCATGTACTAATGAGAAGGAGCCCGTAGAGAATCAGATTAGGCTAAATTATACTGCAATAATAACCAAACCTCAACTGGTATTGGCTTATAACAAAACAAAGATTTGTTTTTCTACTAAGATTACTTGACATTTATTGTTCAATTGACACTTCTTCATCTTGCTCATTATGAGACTTAGGTTCATAGAACCTCCCCCTGATCTGGAGTTTCTGGGTTTGGTGGTAAAAGAGAGAATACAGTAAATTGCTTCTGACTGTCAAGGACTCCTGTTCACATGTCATTACCCAGTAACTCACTTGCCATGTTTAAGTCAGGGTTGGGAAAACTCCAACCAGTCATTTGCCTAGTGACTATTAGAGATGTTAGAAATTTAGGAAAGGAGAACAAATAAAGGCATAACCCAGAGGACGTGAAAGGGATTGGACTGCAGAGCTCGGGGGAGGGGTTAGCTTTACACAGGAAAATACCTCCTCTTTAAATTGGAGGTAAGGATAGAGTCTGATATAGGTAGTTTAGGTTTGGTGGTAACCAAAGGAGGACTTTCCCTTCTATGAGCTTTTTTGAAACACTGTATGAAATGCAGGGGACAGACAGGAAGGTGGTATTAGTGTGTTACAGAGAATGGATAAAGTTTGCAATAGTTGCAGATAATTAGATAGCTGATACAGTAGACATAGACAATTTGGTAGACATCATTAAGGAGCTCTTTTGCTAGGAATGTAAAACTTGGAGCAGAATATTTGAGGATGTCCAAACAAGGGGGGGATAGTCAAAGTCAAATACTCCAAAAAAAATGAAATAGTCACAAAACATAAAATGTGTATCTGAGATTCTCCAGGCAGAATGTAAGGTAAAGTAAAGGGTGATGGAACTGGAGGAAGGTTGTTGGTTGGGAGGGAGGCAACCTACAGAGAAAGGCAAGGTCCAGGTTTGAATCTAGGTATGTTCTCCAATGCCTGCAACCACTGAAGTCTCGTTATAGGGAATACCTCATTAAAAATACAAATTGTATTTTTATTTAAGAAGTGTAAATTATGTTTGGAAGGGCTAATCATACACGCTCATAGTAAAAGATTTAGCCATTCATTTTTTCAATTGAAAAACTTCCCTGGTGGGTGGCGCCTGTGGCTCACAGGAGTAAGGCACTGACCCCATATACCAGAGGTGGTGGGTTCAAACCCGGCCCCAGCCAAAAACTGAAAAGAAAAAAAGAAAGAAAGAAAGACTTCCCTGGAGCTTCTGTTATGTGCCAGAATTATATCTGGCAGGGATGCTGCAAAAAGTGTAGAATGTATATTTTTAAACTAATAGTAATAAAAACCAGGTCCCACTACACAACTGGCTTTTCTCATTTAATACTCGGGCCATCTTTCCCATATGTACACTTGTAGAAAGTTCTACCACTCTTTACCACCGTAGTGTACTTTAGTTCAACTAATTCCTTGTTAATTAGCAGATGCGTACTTGGTACATTCGCATTTACCTTTGTAAGATACTTACAGCTGCAGTCTACCACCCTTGTTAGGAGGCAGGCACAGGCTGCACCCCTATTGTCTGTCCTGAAACTTAGGAACTTAGGCTGCACAGTAGGAGGTGAGGGAGCTACAGGCAGCTGATCCTGTGAAGCAGCTTCAGCCTTGCTTCCTCACCCATGACAGCCCCACCCCTCGTCTTCACTCCAACCTCACCCCATTTGTGGAAAAATTAAAAATTATCTTCCGTGAAACTGATCCTTAGTGCCAAAAGGTTGGGGACTACTGTCTTAAAGACTACCAACTGATTTGTAAGATACCTTATAAGGTATCTGAAAATTGAGACTACCATTTTACTACTGATGTTGACATTTCAAGAAAACTGATTTTGTTATGATGGTCAGAATGGAAAGTCTGAACCACACATGGTTCTCTATTTTCTGTAGAATGTTACATTATCCAGTAATTTATCTTTCCCAGGAGACCTGAAATCTTTTTTTTTTTTTTGAGACAATTGGTCACTGTGTTGCCCTGGGTAGAATGCTGTGGTGTCTCAACTCACAGCAACCTCAAATTCTTGGGCTTAAGCGATTCTCTTGCCTCAGCCTCCTGAGTAGCTGGGACTACAGGCTCCCACCACAAAGCCCTGCTATTTTTTTGTTATAGTTGTCTTTGTTGTTTACCAGGCTTGGGCTGGGTATGAACCACCAGCCCTGCTGTATGTGGCTGATGCTGTAACCACAGAGCATGGACGCAAGCCCAAGACCCAAAATCTTATAAAATTAAAATAATCTTTTGTGCTTATATGAGGAAAGTGTGAAATGGCAGTCTAGGAAATTGTTTACTAAACAAAATACATAGTAATGAGCTAAACATGAAAAAGTGAGAACTGTAGGAATAGCAGATGTAGGCTATCTTCTAATTAAACAGACTGATAGATGAAGAAATCTTAAGAGGAAAAAAATCTTAGGAGGGAAGAGGGTTTCAGAGCCAGCTGCAGTGGCTCCTACCTGTAATCACAGCCGCTTGAGAGGCTGAGGCAGAAGGATTGCTTGAGTCAGGAGTTGGAGGCTGCAGTGAGCTATGATCTCACCACTGCTGCACTCCATCCGAGAATGCAGAGGGAGACCCTGTCTCTTTCAAAAAAAAACAACAACAACAACCTTAAGAGGACTGTAAAGTGAGACCTTTGCATCCGGACTATTGAAATCAGCCTCTTTTTTCTTCAAAGATGGGTAAATAGTTCATTTGCTTTGCTTCTTCAGGTTCATTGTTTTATCTCTAATTTGTTGCTTTATCTCCTATTTATATAAACTTATTTGAGCTTTCACCAAGTGTGTAATACTGATTAGAATTAAAATGCCTTACAAAGCCCTGTGTCTCCTCTCTGAGACGTGCTCAGGTCTTGCGCTGGTGGGACTCAGCCCCCACCAGCCCCCTGCCCAGTTTTCAGACCTTAAGTTGGACTTTGTTATGATTGCCTATTGTTTTGTGTTTAATTGGGATAGAGTAGATGGAGTATATGGAAGAAAATATGAGTTACACTGCTGTACATAGTGAGAGAGAGTATTTTGTGAAATTATAGAAATCATATGTGTTTACTGGGTCATGGGTTTTACTTTGAGTTGCTGTGAGAGAAGAAAATTTCAAGTCTACTACTCTGAAGAAGTGTTAGTTGGATGACACTTTCATGCCTGTATAAGGCAGGAGTTTACTATTGATCCTCTCAAACTGGTGGTCATTACCCTTTGCTGTTTTTACATCAGTGTCTTTGCTCCAGCTCCTGCCTCCTCCATTTCCCTGGAGGGAGGTCATTCCTAACTACCTAGTTGCTGGATACAATGGTATTTTTTCAGTTCTCAGCCTTAGTTTTGTCTCAGTGCAGTTTTACCCTTCTAACTCCATTTTTAATCCTTAACATGACATGGGTGGCTTGTCACTCTGTTCCTGGTCTCTTGCTCACACTCTTGACTATTCCTCTGACTTGTTTTCCTGCTTTAACCTCTTGAATGCAAGGCTTTGTCAAAGTTCTGGCCTCATCTCTTTGCAGGTAGTATTTTTTTCTGAACTTAAGACAATTCTTATATCTGATTTCAACTCCTGTTCTTTGCAGAGCACTCCAAAATTGTCTATTATATTTCTAAAATCGCAAAATATTTCCAGAAATCTAGTTCCATATTTTCATTTGTGTAATAATTACAGGAGTTCAGAAAATTATACTGTTATTGTTATTCTTAATTGCCTAAAATCTAAACTTGGCATCCTACTTTGACTTCACCCCCACATGTACACAAAATATGCACACTGCCACTCAGCAGCCTTGTCCTGATGGTTGATATTATTGCTTTTCTCTCAGGACCCATTCTTGAATTTGAAACAGTTGTCTTTTTTGTTTGTTTTTGAAACAGTTATCTTTAATTCTTTCTTTCCACTTGCCTATCTCCACCCCCCTTAAATACTCATTAAGTCCTAAAGTTATTTTATCCTAAGTTCTAACTATTTTATTTTTTCATTCCCTCTTTCTTCAGTTCTTTAACCTTACTCACCATTCTTTACATGTTTCCAGTTTCCTGTGGATTCGTAGATTCCTAATTTGTGGATCTTAAAGAAACTAAGGTTTGTAGCCAGGGACTGAAAATGCTTGTTTTTCAACTTGGCCTGTAATTAATTCATAGGTGTGTATATAAAATTTCTAAAAATTTTCACCAGGGATCTTATGCTAATCTGTTGTGGTTTTTATTCTCATTCTCTGAAGCAGCTGTTTCATTTGCTACATGGGATCACCATCTCCATAAGCACTTATCAATTCCTTTTGAGCCCAGCCTTCTTCCCAGTTTATTCTTTTTATTTAAAAACTTTTAAATACTCATTCCAACCAAAATATTATATCCAGTTTTCAACTTTTTTTAAACATGCCATTTGTGCTTTAATAGTTTTGAAAATTTAAAATAGAGAAAAATTTATAACATATATGAGGGTTGGGATTAGGGGAACCAGAGTTGTAGGAAGAGACACAAATATATTTTAACAATAATATTGGTTAATTTTATAGATGCATAATGGGGAAAGGTCTTCAAGGATATATATAAACATTTTAATGTTAATTAGGTCTAGGAGGTAGGATTGGGCTAGAAGGCAGGTGTGGGTAACTGTCTTTTATATGTGTCCATTGAACATTATTACTTTTCTTTGTTTTTAATTCTCAGTTTTTCACATGCTTTCTTAAGTTGAAAAAGATACTTTTTCTTTTGCACAAAATAGAGAGCTGTCGTACACATGGATCAACGGCGAGAAGAACAGATTGTGCAGCTGCTGAATTCTGTCCAAGCTAAGAATGATAAAGATTCAGAAGCACATATATCTTGGTTTGCTCCCGAGGATCATGGGTAAGACAAAAAGGTGTTCTTTTAAAAGACGGGCAAAGAGTAACACTTCTTTCATAGTGTGGGCTAAAAAAGATGATAAAATACATTTTAGACTTTTCAGTAGGTGAAATTTAACCTTGAAGTAATTTGTTTCTTATGGAGATCCCATAGATTTTAGAATGTTTTAAAACAAATTAGATGGGATATTTTCACAGGAAAGCAAAATGGTATGAATATTAAGGTAATGGATATGAGAGGAATTATCTTTATATTTCGGAAATTCTCCTCTTGGGAAGGTCTGTCAAAAATTATGTTGCTCCTGTTTTAGGAGTGTTGCAAGAACTGAAGGAAAATTAGATGAAGGAAAATCATTTGATTCTAAGTGATTTCTAAAGGACAGTTAGAATCATTTGAAGGAAAATTAGAGGAAGCATTTCAGTGACTACTTGAGGTAGCGTCTTATTTATAGCTCAGATGGTGGCAGAAAGAAAATGAAGACATTGTAAAATAAAATAAGTCCCAAGAAAAGCAGGATAAAACACTGCAATGGAGGCTCAGTGCCCATAGCTCAGTGGTTAGGGCACTAGCCACTTACACCAAGGCAGGCAGATTCGAACCCAACCCGGGCCTGCTAAACAGCAATAACAACTGCGACAAAAAAAATAGCCAGATGTTGTGGTGGACACCTATAGTTCCAGGTACTTGGGAGGCTGAGGCAAGAGAATCGCTTAAGCCCAAGAGGTAGAGGTTGCTGTGATCTGTGATGCCACAGCACTCTACCTAGGGTGACATAGTGAGACTGTCTTGAAAAACAAAAAACTCTGTAATGGATGAATGACTATTGTGTTATTGTGTGGATTTTCAAAATAATTTTAACTACCAAAGGAGTAACTTACCTGGCAAAATCAAAAAGTAGAGGAGAGATTTGAATTCATTGTAAGCTATTTCATAGTGGCTCTACTAAGAGAAAAGAATAAACACTTTTGATTTGGGTGATTTTGAAATATTTAAACAGCATATTGTTTTGTTCTGTTGCTTGAATGGTTCTTTATCTGACCTTTCTTCATTTTTATTTTGTCAAATAGATATGGTAGTGAAGTTTCTGCTAAAAACAAACCAAGCTCAGAGAAGAAACATGATAACCAGGATAAGAAATTTATAGACCAAGAAAAAAGGACATTTAGAATTAGTAACAAATCATATATTGACCGAGATTCTGAGTATCTCTTGCAAGAAAATGAACCAGATGTAACCTTAGACCAACAATTACTGGAAGATTTACAAAAGAAGAAAAGTGACCCTCGGTATATCGAGATGCAGGTAAAAAAAAAGCAACGTGTGGGAAAAACTCTTTAACTTGTGATTCTTCTCTCACTCTTAATAAAAATGTACATTATTATAGGTAGCTGTCTGGGGTAGATGAGTGAGATTCATTCCTCATCAAGATATCCTCTGTCGGAATTTTTTTCTTTTTAATAGGAGAGAAAAACAATGGGCATGGTAATACACGTAACAGTATCCCGTCTCATTCATTGAAGCCTATGGAGTAGGAAGAGATGTTTCAGAACTGTAGTGCCAATGCGGGGGAAATCTCTTAACTTTTCTAGGTCAACTTGAGGTACCATAACACTCAAGGTGGTTAGAATTGTAAAGTTTTTTTGAGATCATTTAATACAGCTCCTCTACAGATGATAAAATTAAGTCTTTCAAAAGTTATATGATGTGCTTTGTTCATCAACATTTTAAATATAGGACTGTGACAAGAACTGAAATTTTCCAAAATTATTCCAGTATTTTCTTTCCATGCTAGGAAAGGTATTTTAAGGTCCCTTTCAGTTGACATGAAGGCTATGTTAACCAGTTTGATGGAAGTGTTTCGAATTGTGTGTGAAAACCCCACACTGTACCCCAGAAGTGCATTAATGTACATAGTTACCATTCAATGAAAAAAAAAAAGGTCCCTTTCAGTTAAAACATAAAATTGTGACTGGGCATAGTTGCTCACACCTGCAATGCTAGCCCTTTGGGAGGCTGAGGTGGGAGAATTGCCAGGAGTTTGAGAACAGCCTGAGCAACACGGTAAGGCCCTGCCTCTACAAAAAAAAAAAAAAAAAAAGGAAAAGAAAAATTAGTCAGGTGTTTAGGTGCCTGCTTGTAGTTCTAGCTTATGGGGAGACTAAGGCAGGAGGATCCCTTCAGCAGGAGTTTGAGGTTGCTGTGGGCTATGAAGATACCACTGTACTCTAGTCCAAGCCATAAAACGAGATTCTGCCCCCCCTAAAAAAACTCCAAATGTAAAATTGTATGCTTTGTGGGTGTTGTAGTGATATAATAAAATATTCACATGTATGTGGGTATTTTTAAGAGAAAGCACCTAGAATTCTGAGGGCTATGTGTTTAATACGCACATTATCTGTTATTTTGAGAAAGATGGATGTCTCATCTAGTAGGAAGGAAAGGATCCATTGACTGTCACTGATGAAAGTTGAATTTCCTGATTGGAATAGATGAACTGAAGTTGTCTAGGGACAAGTTGTGTAGGTCTTTGATGCCTGTCGAGTCCAAATAAGATGTGAGAATGGGCTCCGCGCCTGTGGCTCAAGTGGCTAAGGTGCCAGCCACATACACCTAAGGTGGTGAGTTCGAATCCAGCCCGGGCCCGCCAAAGAACAATGACGGCTGCAACCAAAAAATAGCCAGGCGTTGTGGCAGGCGCCTGTGGTCCCAACT